TTTCAGGGAACGAAAAAAAAATAAGGCGAGAGTGAGAAACTGCTCTGGTGGAAAATGGTAAAAAGGAGGGGGCGACGGAGGAATGGGTGGGAACAACACACAGCGGCCTAATTATAGTGCAAGTACCAGGCACCTGGGGGAAGGCTCCAACGCTATGGAAGCCCTGAACACCCAGGACGGGGAGTGGAGACATGGGAAAGAGACAAGTGAGAGGACGGGGGGGGGGAGATCATTTCTGTAAGTGGAGCAATATAACCCTCGAAAAAATGAGGACCCCCCCCTCCCCGTGGGTATTTTTGTGTCGATGGAGGTGGTGAAACAAAAAAGGACTTCCACAAGAAACCTTCTCAAGAAGATTCTTAAAAATAACGAGTCGGCAAACGTCTGCAGGAATCAGAGCTGCGGCGGGGCAAAGCGGCGTCTGAGTGTGCATCCGTTTCATGGAGATGGAAACCAGTAGAGGAAGACAAGACCACGGAGAGTCGAGCTCCACTGTGGTTCCAGGAAACATTTACACGGTGGAAGAAATGCTTTGTGTTTGGTTTTGATGGAAGAGCTGACATTTGGATTTGTTCATTAAACTGCTGAGATTAAATAAATAAAAAAGTGCTTGTTCAATTCTGCTCAGACACAAAACAAACCATGCAAATACTTAATCCAAAACCACCAAGGGACATACTTCTAATACCCCTCTTTTTGAAATGGCAGGAACATGCTTCAGATGGAGGCCATGTGTGTATGAATACAGTGCGTGTGTGTGTGTGTGTGTGTGTGTGCGCGCAGCTTCCTCGCTGATGAGGTGAACGCTACTCGATGCTGCCGAGTAATTGCGCCGGTCGGAGCGACTCGTTCCCCGGCTTGTTATTCACATTCCGTACCAACAGCTGCTTACTCAGCAGCGGTGAAAGGAAGAGCACTGCTGATATTTACAGATGGAAAATAGCGGTGCGATGGTGATGAACGGAGATTGACTCTAATATGAGAAGTGGGAGGGAGGACGGGGCGTTTCCCCCGGCGATTGTTACGCGTTTGACCCAGTAGAGTGCGATACCTAAGCGACATCTCCATCCAGGCCCTCGCTGTGAATCAGAAAGTTCTCCGAAGAAGCTTCTTATGACATCAGATACTTGTTGGATCTAATCTCACCTCCCGGCATTCATCCACAGTATCTCAGTCAGAGGCCAGGTTGCACTGCACAAAGCCGGCCTTTGAGCTACGCAGTGGCCTGTTCCCACTGAAAGCAGCGCTGCCAGATTCCTGTCATGCTTTGAAATAGGGGCGGGGGGGCTACCTTTCAGTAGGAAAACACGGTATGGACGCACAAACTCGGGAGTGTGAGGATGCCACCAAAAACAAAGAGACTAGGAGAAGAGGGTGACACGGAGGAGGAAGCAAAGTCAAACAGGCGAAAGCATCTTCGGTGTTCACGAGAGAAACGGGAGCTGCTCCAAAACACAACGAGCGCACCAGCGTTATCCTCGTGTTCAGGGACCATGACGACCGAAACAACAGTATCAAAAGGTCAGGAATTCTTTTCTCCAGGACAGACAGAGGAGGGGGGGG